TTTGCAGTCTGTCTGTCCTGGTGCCCAAGAGCTGCTCTCTGCCAGCACTGCCTGTCCCCAGCTGAGTGCCACCAGGCCTGGGGCAGCTGTGGGCACTGCTGTTGGTGCTGGCTGGCCACGGGGCCTGCCCTGCCAGCCCGGGGTGGCTCTGGGGCAGTGGCACCGGTGACCAGTGCCATCTCCAGAGGCACAGCGGGGTCTGGCTGGCACCAGGGCAGCAGCTCGGCTGGCACCTGCCTGCCTGTGCCTGTGTGCAGCTGGTGAGCCTGGCCACTGCCAGGAACACCTATTGTCCTGAGGCCACCAGGTCAGACTCTCTCAGGTGTCTTGATTTTCATCCTAAGTTTAGGTGCAAAATTTTAAAGATTATTTTGTCAAAACCAGGTGTGTTTTAATCCATTATTTTTGTCTCACCTGGATATTACCCTTCTCCATTTTGAAAGATCTTTGTGTAAGCACCATGGAGTGGTGGCAATCTTTTTAAACTGTTTCATGGTCAGATTTGTCTGGAGTTGGGACTTAGCTTTGCACTTGTCATCCCAGAAAGCATCTGGGAAAGCTGAGAACAGCTGCCAAGGGAGAGGAGGTAAGGAAGGAGTTATACAGGGCCTCCTGCAGCCCTAAGTGCCTTTTTAAGGATTAGTTTTACATCTCCAGCAGCACTGAATATCGCTTTGACTTTTCTTGTTCTACATAAAGGCAATTATTTATTGGCAGCGTGCAAATAATACGGGGCAATTCTGCATTGTGCCAGCAGACATAGCCCTCATTGTGCCATTCACACTTGTTTGTTTGCTCCTTGGCCTGGGGAAGTTCTGAGCTTTGCTTGTACCAACTTATACTGGGGGTCTGTTCCCGCTGGCAGCTGCTCTGGGGTGACACGGCCCCCTTGGAGACGCGGCTGTGGTGGTCCCAGCCGGGGCTGGAGCAGCCGGGGACAGCGGGAGCTGTCCCTGCCCGTGGCAGAGATGGGCTTTGAGGTCCCTCCAACCCAAAGCACCCCGACCCCCCCAGTGTCTGTGGCCACCCCCAGAGCTGTCGGGGTAAGGCTCCCCAAGGCTTTCAGAACCTTGGGCTCGCTTTGTGCAACGCAGCGCTTGCTCAGCCGAGAACCGCAGCGCCCTCTCCTGCTTTTCTGGGTTAAAAAAGTGAAAAAATAGAAGTGCTGGGATGCTCGGGGGGCCGGAGAGCCCTGCCCAGCCTGCCTGGGCCTCCGGTGGGTGTGGTGTGGAGAGCCGGGTCCGCAGGCAAGGGACGGGCAGAGACGAGGTGCCGGAGCTCCGGCCATCCCCGTGGGAGGGTGCCGGGCACGGAGCCGCTGCCCGGCGTGCGGGGCAGGGGGCACGCAGGCGTGGGAATTGTCCCTCGGAGCAGAGGCACTTCGAGGCAGGTGCTGGCCAGGGCACGGCAGCCACTGCCCGAAAATGCTTTTTCTCCGTTTCTGCCGTGCCGGGTGTGGGCTGAGGGCAGGAAGAGCAGAGCCTCGTGGAGTGTGCTGGTGACAGTTGTCACGACACCTGCAGCAGCTGTGGCTGCAGCAACCAGCTCAGTTCCTGCAGCGAGCGAGGAGCCAAGAGGCCGGGAACCAGGGGAACTGGTGCTTTGAAGGCTCCTCCTGGGGCGATGATTTACGGTTCAGCCTGGTGTAACTCGGGAGGAGTCCCTGGAGAGAGACCAGGCTGGTCAGATTTAACACGCTGCGCTCAGAGCAAGCAGCTTCATCTATTATCATTTATTCCTTTTTATTATTATTATTTCTTTAACAATTTAACACCGGGGACACGAGGGACTCCTGTCCCACCCCACACACGGGTGTTCCCACCCGGGGCGCTCCCCGAGCCGCGGCCCGGGGTGCGCGGGGAGCAGCGGCTGCCGAGCCTGCCGGAAAAATGCTCTCGCTTCTGGAAGACTGGGCTGAGCGGCGCCGTGGGAATGCTCTCAGCGGAGCGGCAGCGGGGCCCAGCTCGCTGCCAGCAGCCCCCAGGCAGCCTGCAGTCTCCGAGCAGAGATCCAGCAGGGAAGTGAGCATTTACAGAGCGCGGCAGCGGCGGGCGAGTGACAGGGCTGGCGATGGGATGTGACCGTGACATATGACTGCCCGCTGCCTGCGCGGTGACAAGTGATTGAATGTCAGCAAACAGAATTTGATGAAATTCATGCTCCTGATACGAGCTGACTGCCCAAACAACGTCTGTGTCATTTTTCTGATGGTGACTGCGGGCTAGCTGCGCTGAAGGAGGGAGAGAAAATCAGGAAGACAGCTGGAATAGGAGTCAACTGGGAAAATCTGTTGGGCCAGTCAATATTTTGGCAGACTGAGCCTGTCAGATGCTGTCAGCACTGACAGAGGTAGAGCTATGCTGGGGCACTCTGCAAAGCCAGAGGAGAGGGAGGGGGGCTCGGCAGGGCTGGGGGCTCGGCTGTGCTCACCGTGAGCACCGCGTGCCACGCTCAGCCCAGGCACCAGGGGCTGGAGCAGCCCCTCAGCTCAGCACAGGGCAGGAGAATAGCACTGCCTACACTGCAGCCCTGCAGGGAGCAGGGAGCAGCATCCCAGAGCAGGAATTCCCAGCAGGAGCAGGCTACAAACCCTGTCTGGTGTTTACCCTGGATCTAACAGCCTGGGCACACAGAATTTACTCTCCCATCAAACCCATCCCATTGCTAACTGGGGCTGGATTTTGGAGATGAGGAACTTCACAGTACAGACAACACTTGCCTGTGCCAGTGAGTCCAGAGGGAGTTTGGTGTGCAGAGCCTGTCTGTGCCATGCAGCCTGGGCTGAGGGGAGCAGCAGGGGCCCTGGAGAATTCTGGAAAGCTACAGGGGCTCGGGGACATGGCTGGGGTCCTGGCAGCCCCAGGGTGGGACAACCTGGCTGCCCTGGGAGGAGGAGCTTCCAGAGCGGCCCCAGGAGTGTGCCTCTGGCAAGAAGCAGGATAAACCTCTGGTTCCCTGCTCCAGCAGCTCCTCTCCCCACCAAACAAAGCAGGGCACGTGTGTCCTCACTGTCCCTGGCACAGGGAAGGACTGCTCCAGGCCTCCCCTGCAGTCCTGGGTGGGACTGACCCACATCCACCTCCCACGATAAAATGTGGGCTTCAGTGATGTGCAAGTGATTCCTCACAGAACCCTGATCCTCACCTGTCACACAACAGGTCCCGCAGGGATGGATCCTGCAGCCAGATCCAGTCTGGACATGGTGCTGGGTTTTTTTGATGCGTCGGTCAACAAACTTCCAGTTTCTGTGGAGGAATGAGCAGCTCAATTTGCTGCTTAAAGACTTAAGGGCCCCAGAAGTATTTCTGTAGCTTATGCTACTGTTGGGGGGAGCTGAGTGATGTTTGCTTACAGTAGGATGGGGACTTCAAAAACTATTTCCATTTAATAATACAGAAAATGAGTTTTTCCCAAAGTCTCCTACGGCGCGGGAAAACAATGCCTCTCCATTCAGGCCCTGCCGCAGCAGCCGTGCTGCTCTGGTGTTTGGATCCCTCCACGCTCTGCTATCACACCACGGGCTCCAGTTCCACTGGAAATGCTCTTCCCTCTTGGGGGCTGCCGTCAGCCCTGCCGATGTCCCGCTGAGCCCGCGGTGCCGCGGCCGGGCCGGCCTCAGTCGGCGTGGTAGCTGCTGAACCTCCACTTCTGGCGAGGGTTCCGGGGGTCACAGCCCTTCACCCGCAGCGCTCGGCGAGAGGGATCCACTTCCAGGCACGCCGGCCGCGGGAGGTGCTGGTGCTCCGAGATGAGGTGCTCGGTCTGCAGGAGAGAGGGGGGCTCAGTGGAGCTGGGCTTTGGGGGCTGGGCTTTGGGGGGCTGGGCTTTGGGGAGCTCAGGCTTTGGGGGCACTCAGGCTTTAGGGCTCCTGCAGCAGCAGCTCTGCTTTCGCTCTGAGAAAGCCCAGCTCTTTACAGCATGCCCTTCTTTGGCTTGTCCCTAATACCTGAGATATCTCTGCTCCACAGGGAACATGCAGCAGGAGGCTGATTTCTTGTTTAGCTTGCTGGCTGATGAGCCTGGCACAGGCACTGCACTGACAGGGATGTCAGGTAACTCAGACCCTGAGCTCAAGTGCTGGGGCAGGAAAGAATGAAGAGTCTGAGTGACCTCCATCCTTTCGCTTTTCACATGGGCTTGGATTAACCTCTCTAATGCCTGTGGCCAGCCAGGTGGTGCTGCAGGTGCTGCCACAGGCAAGGGACATTTCCGTGCCCTTCCTGGCACTGCAGTGACCCTCAGGAGCAGCTCGGTAAAAACACTGCTGCTGTGACGTGTGCAGGGGGTCTGGGCAGAAGCAGACAGGAACTGCACTTCACATCCTTGGACAACACAATGCCTGATGTCAGGAGAGGGCAAAGCACTGCAACTCCTTCAGACTCCTCTTGCCGGCACCAGTGAAAGAGCGCCACCAAATCCATCTCACACTCAGCTGAGAAATCAGGCTGCAACAGGAGACAAGACCTGCCTGTGCCCCATAGAGCTCCTTGGGCATTTCTGTATATTTTTCACAAAGTGAAATGACAATTTCACAATTTTCAGTAAGTGGATAAGAATTTTCCTGTATTTTTCCCTAAACACCCAACATGAGCCTGTGGCATTCTGGCATTCAACACTTTAGGCTGAAAAGTCCAAAGGACAACAGGAAATTGTCTGTATATTGAATGCCACATTTTTTCTTTCTTAACTGAAGGGTGTTTTTTCCTCAACAATAGATGATACCATTTCAGAGAATTTTGGATAACTGCTTACACCAGGCTGACAGAGGTACAGCCATGGCTCTTTGTGCAGTGCAGGCAATTAGTGTAAGTACCATTCTTCTCCTTTCCATAAGTGCTGTCTTTAAAAACCCCTGTGAGCTGAGAGCCAATCGATGCTGACTCATCTCCCTTTAAGTGCTATTGACGGTTTCTGTGTAAAACCAGGCTGTTTTGGCTGTTTTGTAGCTGCTGCTGTGGCTGTGGCAGGGTCCCCGGCCTGGCAGCCGTGCTGGGGTGCTTGGCACTGGGATGGACACAACCCCCGGCAGAGGGGCACGAGGGATGGGGGCCCGGGCACCAGCACGTCTCTAGGGGACGGGTGGCCTTGGCGAAGCGGGCAGCAGAGGGTGGGGTGCCCCCGTGCCGGGCTGTGCCAGTGCTCTCCGGGCTCCCTGAGCCGTGCTGGGCAGGCAGGGCCATCCTGACCCCTCCTGCAGCATCACTCACCAGCCCTGGCTGGACAGTGGCCAGCGACCTGTGGAGCCAGGCCAGGCTGCGGCTCCTGGCCCGGCAGCGGTGCAGGCCCACGGCTCCCAGGGCGCCAGCCGGGGCGAGGCAGAGCTCCCCGTGCCGGACCAGCCTCAGCCAGGTGTAGTTGAACTTCTGGTTCTGTGGGAGAGCAGGAACAGACACGGCCCCGTCAGGCTCCACGGCAGGCTGGCCACAGCCGCTCTGGGCAGCCTCCAGCCGGGAATGCCTTCCCGATATCCCACCCAGCCCTGCCCTCTGCAGCGGGGACGCATTCCCTGTGTCCCGGCACTCTGGCTCCTTCTCTCGGAGCCCGGGCACGGACAGGGCTGTAAGGCACAGCTGCACGTCCAGCACACAGATCACAGGCTGCTGTGTAAACCTTTCTGTTTTCACGTGCAAGCTCGCAGCTTTATCAGACTTCCCTAAGCAGCTGGGTTTGCTGTTTCTGACGCTGCTGCTTGGCTGCAGGCTGTGCCAGCAGGCAGCTCCTGCCCTCAGAAGATCCTGCCCCTCGCCGCTCTTCCCCTCGCTGCTCCCAGGCATGGCTGGGCCATGTCCCCGGGGAAGGAAGGGCTGGCCAGCTCCGGGAGGGGACAGGTCACTGTGGGGAGCACCGGAGCTCCACGCCAAGCGCCGTGGGCAGCGTGGCACCCCGGGCTGCGTGCACGCCGTCCTTACCGTGTTGTTAGCATCACACTCCCGAAAAGCCAGGGTGGTGCCTTCCACAGCGATGCACCCTGCCAGGGCCACGTTCATGAGCTGGGAAACAGCAAAAACATGCGGATTTAGACAGAAATTCCCAAGAGGGGAGAGAGGATGTTACATTGCACTTAACCTGCTGGGCTCACAGGACTCTGATGAATCCTGTCCACAAAACTAAGGGAGGCAGAAAGGAGTGCTCCAGGCCAGGCTGGACGGGGCTTGGAGCACCGTGCTCTGGTGAAAGGTTTCTCAGCCCATGGCAGGAGATGGAATAAGCTGAGCTTTAAGGTCCCTTTCCACCTAAGGCTGGAGAAGGGGAGCCTGACCCGGTTTCTCTCACCAGGCGCCAAGCAAGAGGTTTGTGCAGACAGCATTGAATCCGAAAGGACTTTAAAGTGCCCTCTGCCCACTGCCCCCGGCGAGGCGCAGGTTCCGTGCCCGGAGCGGTGCCGGTGCTTCCTCCCGGCCCCGCAGCGCCGGGAACGCGAGCGGCTGCTGCGCTCTGCTGGCGGCGGAGCCGTGCTACAGAGCCTGATCCCACAGAGCCTGTACCTACAGAGCCTGTACCTAGAGAGCCTGTACCTACAGAGCCTGTACCTAGAGAGCCTGATCCCACAGAGCCTGTACCTA